GCTGGAATCGAACTCATGAGGAAGCGGCTTTAGATTCTCAGTGCTGTGCTTTAACTCTGCGCCACCAGGGAGGGCCTGTTGAATATGTGTTTTTAAGATGTGGGAATTAACACAGAAAACATAAACTATTGGATATTCTAATTAGGTTTAATTGAGTGAAAGCTGAAGAATAGCAACTCAAATTATATTCACATTTTGGAAACAGTTTTCCAATTTTCTAGCATTTTAATTACTGAGGGGATTTCTCTCCCCACCCCTACCCCAAATAAATAGTTATTTGTTGGCTTTGGATTCAGTATATATGTACTTGTTTTCTTGCTAGGCCTCCTTCCTTATCTCTCTCTTCCCTCTCTTCAGCCCTTCAATCCTTCATGAGTAAATTTAGAAGTAGGATTGATTTGCTTGTCCTAGCATTGGCATGGTTTAGAGCCATTTGGAAATCTTGGTGATTGGTCATTTGAAGCTGTATGTACTTTTTAAAAATTATATTTTAAAAAGGTTTTTTTTTTAGTATATAGGAAATACATGTTTGTATACATATGTGTATACATATGTGGGTGCATATAGTTGTATGTATATATACATGATACTAAGATATGTAGCAAAATAACATAAGGAGAGTAATGGAATTGCTTACTTGTAATTGAAAAATGGATTATTTCATGTGCAAAGTCTTCTTTGTTAAATTTAAGCCCTTCACTATTGCTTACTACATTTTATTTTAGGTTTGTGGGAAAACACTGCCATGTGGTAACCACACATGTGAGCAAGTTTGCCATGTTGGAGCTTGTGGAGAATGTCCTCGATCTGGGAAGAGATTCTGTCCATGTCAGAAGTCAAGTAAGATATCTATTTAAACCTTTAATATGATTATTCTAAGTAGAGTATTTCCTAATTTTATTTTCCTGGGTATTTATAAGGTAATTTCAATAATAATAGAAATTTGATGTATATATTTTTTTACTTAGATGAGAGGACAATGTAAGTAGTGATTAAAAATGCATTCTTTGAGGTCAGGCATATTTAGGTTGAAGTCCTCCTTTTGTGAGCCATAATTTTCTAAGATGGGGATAATAATAGTATCATCTTCATAAAATGATGGTAAGAATTTGAGGTAAAGTTTGCTTAACATTTAATGTCATGATTAGTACATAAAGGAAATGCTAAGTTTTTGTCACTATGTTATAGAATTATATATTTGATTACTTTGAGATAAAGATATAAGTTGGCAATTGGAATCTGCTTCTTTGACTATACCAGCACCCACACACATACTTATAAGAGTGCCATCATTATGTTAATTATGTGTATTGATTATGTTAATTATAATTGTGCTAAGGTTGGGTTCATTAATGTTCTAAGATTACTAACTTTTTTAGTCCTGTAAATTTTGGAGTAATTTCTAAAAATCCACATATTGTAGAGTCCTTTTAGAGGTTTAAATGATTTTCCTTATTTTTAAGGTAAGTATGCTTGTGGTTCTTCAGCATGGTAACTTGTCACATGTCAACTTTTCTTTAAAAAGCATATAATTTAAATGTATTGGGGATTACTTTCATTGCAGTTGAGTTTTTCCAATAATTACGTTGATGCACAAATTTGTAGTCTGAAAGATATCTCTTTAGGAAATCAAAAGAATGTGTCATGTTGTTTGTGCTTTATAATGTGCTTTTTTAAATGCCAAATTCCTTTAATATGTGCTTTTTAAAAAACATTATTATTGTTTCCTTTTGTCCTTTTTTTTCCCCCTCCACCAAAGTACCTTACTCATATACCATCTGGCCCTTCTCTCCTCCCTTCCACCCTGTCCCCTATTCCCTCTATTGTTTTTGCTGAGTTTAAATTTTTATTTCTTTTATTATATGTGTGTAATTGTTTTATACTTTTATGCTAAAATTACATAGATGAGTGAAACCATTGAAATCTGTCATTTTTTGACTGATGTCATTCAACCTTGAGGTCCATCATTTTGTCCCATATGCCACCTTTTCATCTTTCTTCGCAGCTGTGTAATATTCCATTGAATAGATGCTCTACAGTTTCTCTGCCCACTCATCTATTGTCGGGCCCTTGGGTTCTACAATCTGGCAACTGTAAGCAGTGCTACTATGTAAATAGTAAATAGGTTTAAAAAATTATTTTTATTCATGCAAGAACTGGGGTACATACAGGCCAGAGGTGGGGTGAGAGGATTCACCAGAGAGAGAGTAGGGAGCACAACCAGCAGATCTACTGAAATACACTGCTAAGGGGAGGAGCAGGCAAGACAGGAGAGTTCTGCCTCAACATGTGGGCCATCTTCCTGACTGGGGTTGAACTTGTGCCGCAGTGGCTACAGATAGCTTCATGGTGCTGTATCTTAACCCCTTGCAGCTCTAGAGAGGCCCCTAGATAGATCTTTTTGTACTAGATTTTTTTCATGTTATTTGGATAAATACCTAAGAATGATATTGCTGGGTTATACAGAATTTCCACTATTACTCTTTGAGTTTTATTTTTGTAATTATTTCTTTTGAAGTAGAAAAGTTTTGAAGTTTTATAATATCCTACTTGTTTATTTTGTGTTCATTTTCCCTTGATTTGGTGTTGTACTAAATATATCTTGTGGTAGATGGCCTGTAGTGTGTTCCCTATATATTTTTTTGAAGTACTCTAGGTTTCAGTTTTTAGGTCCAAGTCTTTAATACATTTTGAATTAACTTTTGTGTATGGAGTTAAATATGAGTATTGCTTTTTTTTTTTTTTTTTAAATATGTGACTATCCATGTTTCCGAACACCATTTATTAAAAAGGCTATCTTTCATTGATTTATGACTGTAACTCCTATGTCAAATAGTAACTGCATTTTTAGATGGATTTATCTCTGAGCTTTCAGTTTTGTTTCATGGTGTCTGAGTTTTCTGTTTTTGTTTCATTACCATACTGTTTTGATTAATGTTGCCATTTAATACTATTTGAAGTCAGGAAGTGTAATGCCTCCCTTTTTTTCCTTTTCTCTCAAGACTGTTTTAGGTATTTGGGGCTTTTTGTGATTCCATATAAATTTGATCATTGTTTATTCTGTTTTCTTAAAGAGAGGCATTGGATTTTCATCAGTATTGTATTACTTTGGGTAAATTGACCATTTTAATAATGTTAATTCTTACTGTGAGCAGAGGATAGCTTTCTATTTTTTTTGTGCTTTACTCTCTTTAACAGAATTTTATAGTTTTCATCATACAGATCTTCCACCTACTTCATTAAACTTACTCCCATGTATCTTATCTTATTTTTAACATTGACTTTTTGCTTTTAGAATTTTCTTTGCCTTGTACCGAAGATGTACCAACTTGTGGAGACAGTTGTGACAAAGTACTTGAATGTGGAATTCATAGGTGTTCACAGCGTTGTCACCGAGGACCTTGTGAAACTTGTAGACAAGTGAGTCATCTATGATAGTTCTTTTTTTTTTTTTTTAAGATTTATTTATTTATGCATACAGAACCAGGGTGCAGACCAGAAAAGCAGGGGTGGTGAGAGGATTCACCAAAGACAAGAGTTGGGAGCAGAATAGACAGATGGAATGAAATACACTGCTGAGGGGAGCAGCAGGCGGGCCAGGAAAGGTCTTCAGAGTCATGAGGGTCACCTCCCCGACTGTGGATTGAACTCCCACTGAAGTGGCTGTGGCTCGCTGGTGTACTGTGCCTCAACCCGTTATGCCCACGGAGTGCCCAGTAGTTATTCTTTTTTTTTTAAAAGATTTTATTTATTTATTCACATAGAACTGGTGTACAGGCCAGAGATGCGGAAGGTGAGAGGATTCACCAGAGACAGAGCCGGGAGCAGAACACGCAGATAGATGAAGTACACTGCTGAGGGGAGCAGCGGGCTGGTCAGGAGAGGTCTGCCTCTCCATGTGGATCTCCTCCAGGGCACATGGGATTCGAGCTCATGCGGAAGTGACTTTAGCTTCCTAGTGCAGCGCTTTAACCCGCTGAGCCACCAGGGAAGGCCCCAGTAGTTATTCTGAAGAGCTTCCTGTCATAATGTCAAAGTGTGATTCTTCTGCAATTTTATTTCATTACTTTGTTTCATAAACATTTTTGTCATCTTTATGAGTTTCTGATGTTAGTGGTTTTAATTTGTGGCATTGCTTTACTATTTCATTTCAGTCTTCTGAATTTAATAATGGAAATTATTATTAAGTGTTTTTTTGGAACAAAGTAAGATACATATATTTTTAGGAAATTCAGCTTTTGTTTTGGCAATCTTTTATACAAATTTGCTCTTAAAAACTTTCTTCATTCTTTTTGTAATATAGAGATTGTAATGTGAAAAAAACCATGTTAACAAGAGTCAGTTTTTAATGCATTTATGTAATTCTTGCAGGAAGTGGAAAAGCAATGTCGTTGTGGAAAGCATACAAAACGAATGCCCTGTCATAAGCCTTATCAGTGTGAAACTAAATGTGTTAAGATGCGTGACTGTCAGAAGCATCAGTGTAGGAGAAAGGTATGTGTAATAAGCTGGGAAACTGACTTTAAAATTCTCTTGATTTTTGTTTTTCTTTTTGGGCCTGTGATAAGTACCATCTTGTTCCTCAGATTATTCAGGTGTGTTCTTTGCTTTCCATATGAATACTAACAAGTATTCTAGAGTAAACTTAATTGCTTGGGTTAGTCGGATATCTTACTAAGGTTTATAATGGCAAGCATCTCTTTATTTGTCCTGTGCATATTCTTCTCAGCTTCATTCTTGGATTATTTCTGTTCCCTGTCTCAAAACATTTCATAACAGTATTAGAAAGAGAGATAATTTGATGGAGGAGACTTAACTTCTATTGTTCAAATCTTATTTATAGATAGTTGGTCCATTATAAGCTCAATTGAGTATGTTTTTGATTCTGTCGCTTTGTGGTTTTTTTATCACTATGAATTATCCCCTCTCTGGTAAGATTCCTTGTTTTTAAATGTACTGAAATACATTTAATACATTGCGATTTTAATTTTCTTTTGCTTAGTGTTAATACAGTATACCTTCTATTTTTTTACTTTTAAGTTATTCATATCTTTTATATTTAAGGTAAATTTTCTTGTAGACTGAATTTAGGTATTATTTTATCAAAATTGATAACCTTTGCCTTTTACTTTAAATATGTATCATATATCTTTAATGTGATCTTTAAAGTATGGTTGTATTTAAATGTTTATTTTCAGCTTATATCTTCTTTGTTGTTCTTCTCTTTCTGGTTTTTAATCATTCCATTTAAATTTCTTTATTTCATTATATTTAATATTCAGGAATTTTATAAACCTTAAGCAAATTTTTTAATTTTAATTTTAAACATAAGATGCAGCAGTCCTTTATATCTTTTATCAAACTCATTATTTTTGATGCTTTTTATTCCTTTTATTTTTTAATATACATAGATTCAGGTTTCTATCTAGTTTAATTTTCTTTCCCTATGAAGGACTTAGCATTGATGATGGTTCTGGTTGTAAATTCTTTCAGCTTTGGCGCAGATTAATTTTGGTTTGTGGAAAGTATTTTTCAAGTTTGGTAGTTTCCCTTGTACTTGAAATATGCTGCTGTATGAGGTGCTAGCTTGACTTTTTTTCTAGCAAAGAGGGCTTTATTATTTTTAGTCTTTTGCATTTAATTTTCCTTTGACAATTTTTAAAAATTTTTATCACCAGTTTTTAGCAGTTTGCTGTGGTGCTTCTTGATATAGTTTTTTTTTTTTCCTCTCCCCCCAAGGCTTCTTTGGATCTGTGGGCTTATAGTTTTCATCAATTTATATGAACTTTTGTTTTCTTCAAATATTTTCCCATTACTGTCTTCTTACAATACAAAGACATGCTATATGCTGCTTGTAGTTTCACAGTTCATGGATCTATTATTGGTTACTTTTTATTTTTATGTTTTTTAGTTAGCTTTTATAGCTTTAATTTCAAGTTTATTCATTTTCTAATCCACTTTTTATCCCATTCTATGTTTATTCATCTCAGACAGTATTTTTTTTCATTTTTGAGCATTGGATTTAGGTGTCTGTTTATATGTTCTGTATCTGTTCTTACTTGCTTATGCTTCCCTATACCTTGCAGATAGGAAATATAGTCTAAATTTAGTTGTTTTGATATCTTTGTCTACTGATTATGTCATCTGTCATTTCTGGGTTTATTCTGTTGATTTTTCTCCTTTGGGGTTATATTTTCCTGCTGCTTTGCCACTAGCTAATTTTTGGTTAGTTTTCTAGACATGTAAAACTACATTTTTTGGGGTGCTGGATTATATTTTCTTCTATTTGAGTATTTTTAAGCTTTGTTCTAGGTCTGAGGCTTGATTTTTATTAGGTGTGACCTGAATAACCTTTCATCTAGGGTCATTTTGGCTCTACCCTGAGGCAATCACTCTTCTAAGTGCACAACTTGGTTTTTACATATTTAGAGATTCTTCCATTTTGAGAAAATACTCCCAGCCTGCTTAATCTCTGGAAGTTGGTCTACCTGCTCCTTCCATTTGTTCTTTTAGAAGTTTTGGATAGTTTCCTCTCACAGATGTATGCACCAGTACTCAGTCAGAGATTTAAGGGATCACTTCTGAGTTCTTTAGTACTTTTCACTGTCCTGCCACTTCACAAATTCTACCCACTCCAGCCTCTGTACTATCAGTTTTGTCCACTGAACTTGTTAGGACCGCCAGACTCCTTTTGTGATCTTCCTTGTGCTGCAGTCTGGAAACTTCCAGATCTAAGTTGGTGCCTTTGTGGGACTCATCTTGTTTGTTTTTATTCTCGTGGGATTGCTATTCTGTGCTGCCTTATCTGATGTCAGAAAACTATTGCTTCATGTATTTTTATTTTACTTTCTAGTTACTTGAGGTGAGAGTAAATTTTGAATTGTGCTTCCGTCATGGTCAGAATCAGTAATGTCTAAAGGCTTATGCAAGTTTATGGACTGCATAATCTTTTCCCCCATTCTGCTTTTGCCACTCTGGCAAAATGATTAGTGGACCTGGTAAATATTTGTCTACTTAAATGAGCTATTTGATTTTTTTTCCTATAAAGTGTATCTTTTGAGTTGTTTTCATGTATTGAAACTTATTCTTAAATAGGATGCAACTCTTATATTTGTCTAAAACAACTGTAATCTGCATTTCCTTTCCAATGTTTGGATATGTGAGAAGTCAAAGAAGGAATTAGAATGTCAAGATTTCCTTTTTTTTTTTTACTTAAAAAATTTTAACTGTATCTTTTTATTGCAATAACAGTCATTTAGAACATTGTGTACATTCAGGAATATAGAGTAGAGTTTTAACAGTTGCCTTATGTTACTGAGCAAAAAATTGGAACAGACCATGGACAATTATATTGCTCACACAAAATTGGAAGTCCAACTTTCTTTATAGAAACCTGGAAGTAAATATAAAGAAAGCTGGAAGTAAATAGTCTATTTCAGCTTTTTCTCTTTAGTTTCTGATTTCATGGTTTGCAATAATTACCAAAATTTGCTCTAATTTATTTATTTATAAAGAAAAGATTTAGTTATTTATGCATACAGAACTGGGACAGTGAGAGGATTCACCAGACAGAGTGGGGAGCAGAACAGACCTACTGATGAAGTACATTGCTGAGGGAGGAGAGCAGTGGGTGGAGCAGGAGAGGTCTGCCATACCATGTGGATCACCCCCGGGGCAGTGATCCAACTCTTGCTGAAGTGGCTTTCGCTTCTTAGTGCTGTGCTTAAAAACTCGCTGCGCCACCAGGGGGGCCCAAACTGCTTTAATTTTAATTAAATTTTAGAAATAAATAGACAAATTGCCTGAAATGACTCTAGAGTCTGATCAAATCCATACCTTTGGTTAATGTTAGCTGTCTCTACATAGATAAGTAGTAATGAAATTACCTTTTGGGAATGTCTTAAGTCATAGAGCAGTTAACTGAAGGGCAAGAAAATTTAGCTTGGTTTCATTAAAGTAGGTCATTTAGTTTTAAACTTAATTCTTAATATGGCTACTTACAAGAAAAATGTTGATATTCTTCAGTACTTTTATTTTTTTAATAAAGAGGGATCTTTTGCTTTCTTTAACTTATGAATTACAGGTTATTACATACATACTATATGTAGTTCTCTATTTACTTGTTCTTCATATATTGTTTTCAGTGTTGCCCTGGAAACTGTCCACCCTGTGATCAAAACTGCGGACGGACTTTAGGATGTAGAAACCATAAATGTCCATCTGTCTGCCACAGAGGTAAAATTTAACTATTGCTGTAATTTTTTATATTTTCATAATGTTTTATGGTTGATCCAGATTTTTTATACTCATGTTCTTTATCCTTTAGAATCCTTAAGAAGGTAGGGGGAGAAACTTAATGTCCCTATAGACTAGGATGTTGAAGCCAAAGAGGTCTCATTGACTTTTTCATGGAAATATTTAGTCAACTAGTATAGTCAAGATTTGAACCCAGGCTTCCTAAATATAGAACTTTTATTCTTTCTGTAACACCATATTTCCTTATTTTTCTCAACCTTTCCTACAAAGTTCTTTCCCCAGTTTTATTAGGGTATAGTTGACATGGCAGCATAATAACTTCAAAATGTTGTGAAATGACTACTACATCAAGTTCAGTTAACATCCTTCATCTCATAGATACAGAAAAAATGAAAAAACGTTTTTATTTTTAATGAGAACTCTTAGGATTTACTCTTTTAGCAATTATTATATTTATATACAATAAGGTATGGTAACCATAGTCATCATGATTAGATGACGATGATTGTGAATTATTCCTAGTTCTTTTATTTATAATTGGAAATTTGTAGTTTTTGAGCACCTTCTTCCAGCCCCCTCATTTTTTAACTTATGTGTTCTCAGATTTTCATTTCTACCTTGAATTTTAGCTATTTACATAAAATTAAATCTAGTGAGGGACACAGTTTTCCTAAGGTGGCAGTTCTTAAACTTTTGGTTCAAAGGTCCCTATATAAATTTTGGGACCCAAAGAACCTTTATTAATGTGGATTTTTCTTTTGACATTTATTTTACTTGAAATTAAAATGTAATAATATTTATTATTTTATGTAAAAATAGCAATGACAAACCCATTACAGCTTAATACAATAACACCTTTCATAAAAAATAGTTACATTTTTGAAAAATATTGAGTGAGAAGAATGACAGTGTTTCACATTTTTGCAAATGTCTTTAATGTGTAGCTTATAGTAAATAGCATGGTTTACATATCTGCTTCTGCATTCAGTCTGTTATGATAGCGCTTCTCACGTAGTTTCTGGAAAGCTCTCTTATATGCATTTCAGATCTTGCAGACCCCTTGGGAGAGTCTCAGGGTGCCTAAGTTATGAGACATTGAAAACTGAGTTAACTTTACCCATTTGGAATATGCTGATGTGAAATGGAATATACTGATAAATGGCATGGGATAGTGGGGGTACACTCAGGTGAAGAGTTCCTGGTGTCTGGATTCTGCCATTTATTTAGTAGCCTGATAATCAGGGATGGAGTACTGGACAGTTTTTCTTGTCTTTGAGATTTAGGTGGGTGCTAGGTATGTCAGCTAATTTAATTCTTCAGAAGTCTTGCAAGGTCTATGACATTGCTATTTTGTGTGAGGAAAAAAATCAATGAAACTATTGGAGCAAAGTCACAGAACATAGTTGCTGGGTCAGGATCAACTTGAAATTCAGTATTTGCATTGTACCAGATAGCCTGCACATTAGAAGCACATGGATATTTTCCTGTGGGTGTTCTCAGATTTGTGGTGCCCCTTAATTGTGAACTAATTTTTCAGTTCTCACTATTACTAAGATGATTGTATTTCCTTTTACAGTCATATTACATCACTGAGCCATTACACTTAAATTTCATTAACATTCTAAAATCAGTAATTAATTCACTCAGTAAGTATTTTGAAGTATCTACTAAGTAGTAGGCACTGGGAATACATGAGTTGCCAAAGTTGACAAAATATGTATTCTTATGAAATTTTTAAGTAATGGAAAATAAACTGTATTTGTCAATAACCAGCATCAGGTCATGAGAAAGAAGCTGATTTTGTTGAGAAATGTGAGAAATGTATCTAAAAAATAATGTATTTTATGTGTACCAGGAAGAGGAGAAAGCTGGCCTTTTAGCTGTTTTTACTTCTGTCAAGAATAGTCAACTGGTACAGTGTAACAGTGAGGGTTTGAACCATCCTGGAAAACTTGATGTTAAGGCCAGATACTGAAAATGATGAGAAAGATGCATCTGTCACCTATATCCTGGTAGACGTAGAAGGATGACTTAGCCAAGGAGCTTATGCAAAATTTATGAGAGATCTTGTAATAGAGTTAGCTTTGAACATCTGCCAGGCCCAAGTTCAGATCTCAAAGAACTTTTCATTATTTTAAAGCTATTAGACAATTAGATGTACTTTTCAGATAATTTAATAACTGATTACCAAATATATTTGGGATTAGAAGGCCCTGAATTTAGCAAAATTCATTTTAAGAACAAATTTGATAATAGTTGTCCATATCTGATGTCACAGCTTATTTTAGAACTAGGTTACGGGTTTGGTGTTATCATCGTGTTAGACAAAATAAACAAATGAAGCATAATTTGGAAAAGCTGTTACAGAAAAAGTAGAAAACAATAATTTGTTGACTCTCATTAATAAATGGTCTCAGTATAACTGGGCTGGGGAGGGATAAAAATCTACATCATAAGGTACACAAAATAAATTCTGGGTAGATAAAAGATTTAACAGTTAAGGCTAGAAGTGTATACATTATAGATCACATGGTAGAACATTAAGACCTTAGAATGAGGACTTTTTTTTTTTGCAAAGAAAATGTAAAAGCACAAACTAAAAAGAAAGTAGTTCATGAATTTGACTTCCTTTACCTCAAAAACTTCAGAGTAGCAGAAGATTCCATTAACTATGTGAAAAAAGACTGAGTGTGAAAAGATACTAGTGACAGTGGGACATAAAAACCGATTTTTAGAAATAACAGTTGCTGATGTGAAGCTATCTAAATGGCCTATAAGGCTTAGGTATCTCACAAGTAATCAAGTTGATTAAAAGTTATTTTTACATACCATTTCTCAGCTATGAGATACCAAAGAAGGTTAACATCTGATAATAAATACCAAGTGCTTGCTAGGGGTATGGCGAAATAGAAACTTTCATACATTATTTATTGGACAGTTTGCAGTACAAGTTTGTAGAACCACATGAGGGAGAAAGTTGACAGTAGCCGGTGAAGATATCCACTCCTTACAGCACACTAAAAATAAAATTATGTATTTGAATAGAAGTATGCATGAAAATGAACAAAGAAGATTATTACTCAGATTTTCCAGACTTAAATCCATTTTGCTTGTACAAGTTTGAATGTGTAATGTGTTAAATTTGTTATTTAGAGCAAATTTTTAGCAAGTTTTAAAGAAAATTAAACAACTTTTTATTGAAGTACCAGTGTAGATCCAGGAAAGTATATAAATCATAAGCATACAATATGGTGAATTTTTATGGATTGCACTTAACCATGTAATTAAATCTCAGCTTGTTAAATAGAAAATTACCAGTATTTCTAAAATCCTCCTTGGATCCTTCATAGCCATCATCCTGATTTGAACATAAAATTATACATTAGTTTTCCTGTTTGCTTTATGTAAATGAATCATATGCTATTTATTCTGTGCCTTCATTTGCTTAGTGTTGTGGATTGAGGCTCATTCTTACAATTTTTTCATTCTCATTGTAGAGTTTGCTATTGTGCAGTTATACTAAACTGATCAATTCCACCATTGATGGGCATTTGGATAATTAAGGAATTTTTTTTTTAATTTGACATTTTTTTTCAGGCAGTTGTTATCCCTGCCCAGAAACTGTAGATGTGAAGTGCAATTGTGGTAACACAAAGGTGACAGTGCCCTGTGGCCGAGAACGAACCACAAAACCACCCAAGTGCAAAGAGCAATGCAGGTAAGTGAGCTTTGCACAAACTTAAATCTGGCATCTTACAAAGTTAAATTCATACTGAATTTTAGTATTTTAAATTTTGCTTTAAATTATGTTTTAACATGTAAATATTCCCAATAAGCTTCATTCTTTATGGAATCAGAAAATATGTAAGATAATTGTACTTTAGATTAGATATAGTTGTTAAATGATCTATACTAATTTTAAAAATTGTACTTTTTGACTTAGTCGACCACCAACTTGCCATCATACAAGTCAAGAAAAGCATCGCTGTCACTTTGGCTCTTGTCCACCATGTCATCAACCTTGCCAGAAAGTTTTGGAGAAATGTGGTCACTTATGTCCTGCTCCATGTCATGATCAAGCATTAATAAAGCAAACTGGCAGGGTAAGGGAACACTGTTAATAAGAGGTAGCACATCGCAGTGGGTCATACTTCTTAATTTTAAGCCATAACAAGCTATGATTAAGTATTTACTGGGTGGTAAGCACTTATTGTTATTCAGGAGCTGGGATACAAAGTAAATGAAATGTGTATGTGTGTGTGTTGTATGTTTTGTCTAAAGCTACCAATATAAAAAAAAAGGTAAACCAACAAATAGTTGCAAATACAGTATGATAGATTATAATCGTGATATAAACTTATCTAAATTTGGCAATCTTCTTCATATATTGTGACTTAGGACTGTCAGTATCTCCTGGTTTCCTCAAAGATTCACATATTCATAGATTATTTGAATTTTACTATGTGTGAAACATTCTTCTAGCTTTTAGTAACAGTGAGCACAATAGTGGAGATACATTCTGCCTGTAGAAGCTAGAGTTTATAATTGTGTTTTCTCATTCTCCTTTTGGTTTATGACAAGTGAAGGAGGCTGCTCTGCTTTCCTTATGCCATTTAAAAATTTGAGTCGAGTTTCAAATAGGTGTGGATTAGAACAATTTTGATAGACTAGAGATAGAATAAAATATTTCAGAAGCACAGGTTGCTGAAAAGTTTTAGCCTGCTTAAGTAGGGGATACATGGAGCTACTTTCTGAGATTCTTGTAATGATCATATGACTTGATCCTCTGACTTAAAATTGTTATATATTTTACTTGTAGCACCAGCCTACAGTCCCTTGGGAACAGCTTTCTGAGCCAGCATTTATTCAGACTGCATTACCTTGTCCTCCATGTCAAATTCCTATTCCTACGTAAGTATTGGAATTTTTTTTTTTTTAAAGATTTATTTATTTGTGCATACAGAACTGGGGTATAGGCCAGAGGCTCAGGGGTGGTGAGAGGCTTCACCATAGACAGAGTGGGGAGCAGAACAGGCAGGTTTATGAAGTACACTGCTGAGGGGAGCAGTGAGCGGGTGAGGAGAGGTCTGCCACGCCATGTGGTCACCTCCGGGGCAGGCGGGAATCGAACTCATGCGGAAGTGGCTTTAGCTTCTCAGTGCTATGCTTTAACCTGCTGCGCCACCAGGGAGGGCCAAGTATTAGAATTTTAACTTGAAAATATTTTTAACATAGTTCAAAGTGTATGTTAAGTTACTTTCTCCCCTTTTTCTTTGTTTAGTTCATCATTATTTCAGACTTAGTCTGTGAACTAGTCTGTCTTCAGCCTCATTCTTTTCCAAATATATTTTTCCAAAATCTATTTTAATTTTTGAGGTTTTATCTCCAGCTGGAGTTCTGTGCACTTCTTCTTTCACAGAATCTTATGCTTAACGTTACAGTAATACATCCAACATAGCATCATTTTTTCTTCTGATTGATACCCAAGCTAGCCTGCAAGTTTCTTGAGAACAGAGGAAAAAGCCAAGTTTTAGTTAAGGCAAACTTGACTTTTGTATTTCAGATGACATTGTAAGTGGAAAATCATTAGGGTTTTCTCACAAAAGCTATTTAATGAAGTGTTAAATGAGTTCAGGAAAGTTATAGAAAACATGGTTAACATATTGATGAATTTTATTTTTATACAGTAGCAGTGAACAACCTAAAAATGAAATTAACAAAACACTTTTTCTGATATCATCAATAGGAACAAAATTTGTGTTAATTTAATGAAAGTAATAAATGCAAACTTTATACACTAAAATAGTACATTAGAAGGACATCACTCATCAATGTATACTCACTAAGTGAAGGAACATCAAAATATATAAGGCAGTTATTGCCAAATCTGAAAACAGACAGTGGGGAAAAAGCACATTCTTGTTGGGTATTACAACATCCTGCTCTAGCAAATGAACCAATCAATAGAAACGTTTAGTAATGTTACACAAAGAACTAGACTACATGGTCATAATAGACATTTTTTAGAGTACTGCTTAATATAAAAAGCTTTATACCTTTCACAAGTGCATTCAATCCTGGTACATTCTCCAGGATTGATCACATACTGGGTTACAGGATAAATGTCAACAAATTTATGAAGATTGAACTCATACCAACCGTCTTCTCTGACCATAAAGGTATCAAACTAGTAATCAACCAAAAAAGAAAGGAGGAAAACTGAATAGCACACCACTGCTGAATGACTATTGCATTGATGAGGAAATCAAAGGAGAAATTAAAAAATACCTCATAGCAATTTAGGCCCACATCAAGAAATGAGAAAGAGTTGAAAAGTAATCTTATTTCTTACCTCAAGGAACTAGAAAAAGAACAAGCAAAATAAAAACTTACCTTTGATTTCAAGTTAGAAAATATATAATGAAAAGTGACATAGTAACACTTATGTACAATTAGACTGGAGGTACAGCCAGCAGCATAGTTGGCTAATCAGATTAATTCAGTGGTACATCAACAGGGGCCCAGTTCTTTGTTTCTATTTTATAGCTCTTGTTTTCTTTGCTTCTGGCTAATTTGTGTTTCTGATAGCTTCCCATCTCTGCAGGAAAGGTTCCAAAGGGAACCACAGTTGTATTGCCTCCTGTCATTTATTTCCCCTTTTTTTATGTTTCAATATTTATTTATTTATGCATATGCTTGAGTATAGTCCAGAGCTGCTGAAGGGTGAGAGAATTCATTAGAGACATTGGGGAGCAGAACAGGCCAAGCCACTGACATACACTGCTGAGGGGAGTGGCCGGTGAGACAAGAAAGGTCTGCTGCGACATGTGGGTCAGCTCCCTGCCTGGCCAAACTCCTGCTGCAGTGGCTGCCGATTGCTTCATAGTGCTGAGACTTAAGCCCTTGTGACACCAAGGGAAACCCCATTCCTTTTATTTTAAAGAGTGGGAAACCTTCCCTGAATACCCCATAACAGAGCCCCTTTCACATTTCCTTGGCCAGAGTAGGGTCCCAAGGACTTTCTGGAAAGGAAGCCAGTGTATATTTTTTAATTTTATAAAAATAGAGTTTTGTTTTTTTTTCCTTCCAGATTTAGGTTTATAGAAAAAATTTGCAGAAACTAGACTTCCTACCCCCTGTCCCCAATATACGTATACGCACAACAGTTTCCCCTATTAGTCATATCTTGCATAGTGTGCTTTTTTTTTAAACAAACTGAGAAGCTAATATTGGTATATTGTCTTTAACTTAAGTCAATAGATTACATTGTGTTTACTTTTTGTGTTAATTAGTTCTGTAGTTTTTTCTGCTGCCCTAGAAATTCCCTGTGCCACACCTTTTTATCCCTAATCCTTCCTGCTTTGAGCCTTTGGCAACCACTGATTTTTTACTGTCTTTGTAGTTTGCCTCTTTCAGTATGTCATGTATTTGGAATCATATAGTAAGTAGACTTTTCACCTGACTGCTTTCTCTTAGCAGTATGAGTTTAAGGTTCCTCTGTGTCTTTTCTTGCCTTGATAACTCAATTTTTATAGCTGAGTAATACTGGATGTATAATGTAATGCAATTTGTTTATCCACTCACCTTTTGAAGGACATTTTGGTTGCTTACAATTTTTTTTCACTTATGAATAAAGCTGCTGTAAATATTCATATGCAGGTTTTTGTGTGTACATATGTTCTTGTGTCATCTGGGCAAATTTTTAGGAGCAGATTCTGGATCATATGGTATGTTTATGTTTATGCTTTGCAAGAAACTGCCAAATTGTCTAATGAAGTGGTTGAACCATTTTACATTTTCACCAGGAATGACAGTTCTTGCTGCCCTTCATCTTTGCCAACATATGCTATTGTCAGTGTTTGGATTTAGCTGTCTTGATAGTTGTATACTGGTATCTCATTTCTCATTGGCTGCCCTCTAGTGTTGGGATATTGAGCATCTTTTTATTTGTGCCTTCTATATGTCTATATGTCTTCTTGAAGTGTCTGTTCTCTGTTCAAATCTTGTCAGTTTTTAAATTGGGTTGTTTGTTTTCTTACTAAATCTTAAGATTTTTTTATACTTTGGGTATATGTCCTATACCAGTTGCATGTTTTTCAATTTTTTTTTTTTAAAGATTTATTTATTTGTGCATACAGAACTGGGGTACAGGCCAGGGGTACAGGCCAGAGGCGCAAGGGCGGTGAGAGGCTTCACCAGAGACAGAGTGGGGAACAGAACAGGCAGATCGACGAAGTACACTGCTGAGGGGAGCAGCGGGCGGGCCAGAAGAGGTCTGCCACGCCATGTGGTCACCTCCGGGGGAGGCGGGAATCGAACTCATGCAGAAGCGGCTTTAGATTCTCAGTGCTGTGCTTTAACCCGCTGCGCCACCAGGGAGGGCCTCAATTTTTTTACCCCGGTCTGTGACTTACCTTTTCATGTAAGTGGTCATTTAATACTTTTTAACTTAAATGTTCTTCACAAAGTAAGTTTTGATTTCAAGAAATCCAATGTAACCATTTTTCTTTCACAGGTCATACTTTTGGTGGTGTATTTAAAAAGCTATTGCCAAATCCACTGTGACATAGATTTTCTTCATTTTATAGTTTTGTTTTTTTTTTTTAAGATTTTATTTTATTCATACAGAACTGGGGTGCAGGCCAGAGATGTGGAGGGTGAGAGGATTCACCAGAGACAGATTAGGGAGCAGAACAGGCAGATCAACGCAGTACACTGCTGAGGGGAGCAGCGGGCAGGTCAGGAGAGGTCTGCCACGCCATGTGGATCTTCTCTGGGGCAGGCGGGAATTGAACTCATGTGGAAGTGGCTTAAGCCTCTCAGTGCAGTGCTTTAACCCACTGCGCCACCAGGGAGGGCCCCATTTTATATTTTTACATTACACTTTTTGGTCTTTCTTCCATTTTGAGATAACTTGTGAAAAGTTGGTTAGGATTTTATTATATGTAGATTTTATTCCAGTACCATCCATTTGTTAAAAGAATTACTGTCCTTTTCCATTTAATTACCTTACTCCTTGTCAAAGAGCAGTTGATTATATATTGTGTGGTTCTTTGTGGGCTCTCTATGTTTTTTCATCTATTTGTGTATTATTTTATTAGCAAAATAATAACAAAACACTACACTGTCTTGAACATTGTAGCTTTAGAGTAAATCTTGAAGTTTGGTAATAATGTCTAGACTTTTTCACTACTGGATTTGCTATTCTGATTTTTTTTTCTTTTCATGTAGACCTTCATATAATTCATTGATAATATGCAAAATAGCTTGCTGGGATTTTTACTGAAATTGTGTTGAATCTAGACCAAGTTAGGAAGAAACAACATTTTACAGCATCTTAATAATATTGTATCTTCCTACTAGCAAATATAGAGTATATGCTTATTTATTTTGACTTATTTCATTAGCATTTAATTTATTTTGTTTTATTTCATTGGCATTTTGTAGTTTTTCTCACAAAGATCATGTATGTTTTGTTAAATTTATATGTAAGTACCAAAGTACTTACACTTTGTATGTTAATAAAAATGGTGGTGTGTTTTCATTTACAAATTCCAATTGCATTGCTGGTATATAGAAGCACTTTGTATCCTGCCACCTGGATTTTTATTCTTAATAAACAAGCTATTTCATATATTTTATATATTCTTTTAAAAGAATTTATATTTTCATTTTATTTTTATCTTGCAGGATATGTCTTGGGAAGCATGAGGTGAGTTACAAGTGTTCAGTAATTTGTAAAACATACCTCTTCTTACTTATAATTGTTAGAAATAAATTCAGCATATTGTTATTTAGTTTAGTGTTATGAAGAGTATAAGTCTATTAATACTTAAACTATACAGTGCTTTTATTTGAGAAATGGCTGTTTTTTGTTTGTTTTATTTGAGAGTTGGCTATGTTGGCTACTTCAACATTCCTATATTCGATTTACATTTTCAGAAGAGGCCTTTTGCTTCTTGGAATTCATTTTTTGATAGGTCTCCTGGTTTTTATAGTAAATTATTATTACAGTTTGGTGAATTTGTTTCCAAATAATAGAGGCACTGTAGAAAAGTGGGACAAGAAATTTTACGTGTATATATTGTGCTAAGCTTTCCTTTTTTGTTGTTTTTTTAGGTGAGTCCTCTACCATGCCATGCTGTAGGACCCTACTCTTGTAAGAGGGTTTGTGGAAGAACCTTAGCTTGTCAGAATCATACTTGTATGAAAGAATGCCACAAAGTAACTGAACTTGACAATGCCACTGACAAAAACAAGGTAATGTCTTAAGTTGAATGTATAAATGTTCATAGTATACTTGAAACTTTGTTTAGTAATTATGCCATTAATATTTTTCCCTTTTACTGTAACTTCTCTTTCTCACCTCCTTCCTTCTTTGCCTTTTTCGGGACAATCAACTTTAGTAGCTTGATGTATATTGCTCTATATTATGTGCTAGTTCATAGTAACATGATTCTAATGTCAGAACTATTCATATACTATATTATTTCCACTATGATTTGATTTTGTGATAAAAGTATAGAAATTAGTGGGTAGCAATTGTTCCCCTACTTCTGTTCACTCATAACTCTGAACTCAGAGTTTACTTTTAGATGTTTCTTAAACCTGACACAAATTGATAGATGATTGCAGTTTTAATAAATTCCCAATCTTTTGTTGGCAGTAAAGAGCATCACACATATGAGGCGTGTTTATGTGTTTGTGAAATTTACTAGAAGTGTTTTTTTTAATTGAAGTAACATTGGTGTAGAATGGTCTCCTCCTTTAGGTGTTATTACTGCACCACACACAGCACCTGCGCATCCACAGTACATCGCTGTAATCCATTGTGCTCCCTCCTTTTTTTAAATATAGTTGTATAGATGAAAAACAGAAACATTGCTTGATTTCTTAACTGCATTGTCTTGTCCCATAGCACACCTTATATTTATCTTCAAAATAGATTCTGAACCTGTTTCTCATAACCTCTACCTTTAATATCCCCAGCCGCACCACCATCACCTTTTATCTAGATTTCTATAATATTTTCCCTACCAACCTTTCTATTCCCACTTTTGTCTTACTGTGTTGGCTTTGATAATTTTTTTAAAATGTTAAGTGTCATCTCCTAGTAGCTTTCAGTTTTTCTCAAAATAAAATCTAAAGGCTCCTGATGGCATGTCAGGCTTTATAGCAAACTGGCTACCCTTCCAACTTTCTACTCTTCATTCTTGCACTCACTTGTGTGACTGTGCTTGTTATGCTTTAGTATTCCAAGTTTGATCATATCACAGAGCTTCTGCTTTTCTTTGGAACTCTAAATTTTGTTGACTCTCTCATTTCCTAGTCATTCAAATATGAACTTTATCAGACAGAGTTCCTTCTTATTACTATCACTTTCTCTTTCCTGCTTTGTTTTTTTTTTTTAGTTTGTGTATCTAGATTTTACATTGTTCTTCATTTTGTACATTTTTCATCTCAGGTGGAATCCCCGTGGACTTCCCACCATCACTTCACCCATATGCCATCACCATAGTCCCATGTGCTCTTCCCTCCCCAGTTTTGATCTTGTTCCCCTTTTCTCCCCCATAGAATGTCTGCAGAGTTCCACTCATAGCAGGAGTGTAAGGGATCAGGAAAAAAATATACATATATATGTATTAATTGTAATAAAGTAAAGAAGAACATCAAATAACAACTGTAAATCTTACTCTGCTCTATCTTTTTTTATCTAGTATTTATTGAGACATTCTCTGTAAAAATAATTTTTTTTTAAAGATTTATTTATTTGGCCCTCCCTGGTGGTACAGTGGGTTAAAGCACAGCACTAAGAAACTTAAGCCACTTCCGCATGAGTTCGATCCCCACCTGCCCTGGGGGTGATCCACATGGCATGGCAGACCTCTCCTGACCCGCCCGCTGCTCCCCTCAGCAGTGTACTTCGTTGATCTGCCTGTTCTGC